AATAGCTTGAATACTCTAAAAACAAAAACATATATAGACAACAAACCTGGTATATAATATGTGGTAATTTACAGTATTTTGTTGAGATGAAGCAACAGAAATCAGGGTTTCCATCAATTTTCCTAACCCTGTCTTCTTCATGTCCAAATCAACATTCCTGAACAATATCTAAAAGGGAAAACCAACATGAGAATGTGTACAAAATCACTATTGTACATGTTCTACACATACAGAGATTCAAACATACTTCAATTGAAAACTTGAGAATTGAGATTTGGCATTGCATGTATTTCAGCAAGTAATCCAAGAATCCCTATATCCCACCTAAGTCAAGAAGATGAAAAGAAACAAAATATACCTCTGTAATTAGCAATAAATGCTCTTCAGATCCTATCTGTATGAGCTCAGGCCTTAGAAGAACCTGTTGCATCCCCAAATAACAAATTAAAACCAGCAGGGTTCAAAAATACCTCAAGATTGTGAAATTGGGAAACAAATAGTGGAATCAGACAGGCAAAAACAATTCCTACGTCCACTATGCCCATCGCCTGTGAGAGGCATCGATTTGGTTGAAAGCAGAGATTAAAATGCATGTTTTTAGAGTAGGATTCTTTAATTGGAAGTTTTTTTCAAGGTAAAATGCATAGATTAGTAAAAATTGTGATGTTTCAATGATGTTATAGAAAGAAAAGTTAAAGTACAATGCTAAAAATGGGATGATTATGCTATAATTGGATTTTTTTCAAAATAAAATGCATAGATGAAAAAAGTGAAGTTTCAATGAATGTTATACAAAGAAAAAGTGAAAGTGCAATGCTGAAATTAGAATGATTTTTGAAAAATCAATGTAAAATGGAAGTTTTGGACAAAAGAATGCTTTAATCGGAATTTTTTTTTCAAAAATAAAATGCATTGATGAGAATTCAATGCAAAACGGATGTTTTTTTAATATACAATGATTTAATGGGAAGTTTTTTCAAAGTAAAATTAAAGCACCATGCTAATTGTAAAAGAATAAGAGCAACAGGATGTGAACATGAACACTGAATTTATGACACACAACAAAATATAGAGTGGTTTAGTGGTAAAACATACCTGGAGTATGAAATGAAAGCAGTTTGCTATTTCTGGATCCCCATTATGAAAGTGGAAATATACACATGTTTAGTAATTGGTAAAAGAAAATTGAAATTGAAAAAGAATAAGAGCAGCAGGAGATGACATACCTTGGACTGAATATGAATATTATTTGGTAAAAGAAAATTTCTTCTCTATCTTTCCCATAACATGTGATGACAACTCCTACAAACACATACCACAAAACATAAGTCAAAAGCGATAAATACTCAATGTAATGGGTAAACTTTTCTAAATTTAAATGTTGTGATAAATAAGAGTTCTGGAAGCATAACTTTAATAAGGGAAAAAACTGAAAACACAATGCAATAGTGCAATCTTTTTTCTTGAATATAAAACTAGCAAGTCTTATCAAAATCGGTTTCTATATATTTGGATAAATATTGATGTAAATGGTTTCAAGAAATTAACCTTTGGAGATGTTGGTTTCCGGATGAGGTTGGGGTTTGAAGGGGCCCACCATGATTCCAGGTGTCAACATCCTGTAAAAAGAGTAAAACATTAGTTTGTGTTCATGAAAATTAAAAAGGAACAAACAGCCTACAATTATAGTTTTCCATAACAGAATCCCTAATCTAATATAAAAAGCACATCAAACCCAATAAAAGTGTAAGTTTAATGCAACAAAGGAACTTCCTGCCTCTAGTAATTTGGTTAATAGATTAAAACCAAAAGTATTCAAAAATACCTCAAGATTCTGAAATTGGGAAACAAATGGTGGAAGAAAACTGGCAAAGAGAAACCCTCTATCCACTTCCGCTGTGAAAAGTGGAAAAACCGGTCATTAAATGGCATAGACACCTGGTTTTACAAGAATGAAATTAACTGAATGAGAATGACACCTTTAAAACAAGTGCCATTGTTGCTTGAAACACTCTCCTGGATAATATTTATAGTATATATATTTCTTTAATACCCTTGACTTGTCCATTACCATTGGAAGCACCCTGCAAAAGTAAAGGATCAATAAGTTTTTCAGCAAACATATTTTAATTATCTAGTTGGCAGTTGCAATCAAAAGAGAAAAATAAAAGCATATTCATATCTTCAACCAAAGGAACAACAGTGAAATGAAGTGGAGCAACATGCAGCATGCTATCCACCAAAATAAAACGCATCAGCAAAACAGATAGTGAAAAAGCTTGAATACTCTCAAAACAAAAACATCTATACACAACAAACCTGGTATATAATATATGTGGTAATTCACCTTGATTTACAGTATTGTGTTGAGATGAACCAACAGAAATCAAGATTTCCTTCATTTTTCCTAACCCTGTCCTTCACAAGAGATGACATGTTACAAATCAAGATTCTTGAACAATATATATATATATATATATATATATATATATATATATATATATATATATATATATATATATATATATATAAAAGGGAATACGAAAACCAGCATAAGAATATATATTTCTTCATTGTTGAGGAAGTTGACAGAGAACTGAATGTAAAATGGAAGTTTATCAAAGTAGAATGCTTTAAAATGCAAGTTTTTTTTAAAAGCAAACTGCATAGATGAGAAAAAAATGTTCGATTTTTCAATAATGTTAAAGAAAGAACAATGCTAAAAGGGGATAACTTTTAAAAATTCAACGTAAAATGGATGATTTTGAAAGTAGAATGATTGGAAAAAGTTTCAAAGTAAATTGCGTAGATAAGAAAAAAAAAGATGTTTGATGTGTCAAAAATGTCACAGAAAGGAAAGTTAAAATATAGTCCTAAAAATAGGATGATTTTTGAAAATTGATTGTAAAATGGAAGTATTTGAATGTAAAATGCTTTAATTGGAAGTTTTTTCAATGTTAAATGCATAAATAAGAAAAGCAGATGTTTGATGTTTCAATGAAGTTATAGAGAGAAAAAGGTAAAGTATAATGTTAAATTTGTGATGATTTTTTAAATTTCATTGTAAAATGGAAGTTTTTGAGAGTATAATGTCTTAATTGTAAGTTTATTGAAAGTAAAATTCATAGATGAGAAAGAAATAAAAAAGATGTTTGATGTTTCAAAGATGTTAATGAAAGAAAAATGTAAAGTACACTTCTAAAAATGGGATATGTTTGAAAATTGAATGTAAAATGGAAGTTTTTGCAGATAAAATTCTTTAATTGGAAGTTTTTTCAAAGTAAAATGTATAGATGAGAAAAAGAAAGTTTGACATTTCAATGATGTTACATAAAGAAAAAAGTTAAAGTAAAATGCTAAAAATCAGATATTTTTGAAAATCCAATGTAAAACAGAAGCTTTTGAAAATAGAATGCTTTGGTTGAAAGTTTTTTCAAAGTAAAATGCATACATGAAAAAATGAGAAGTTTGATGTTACATAAAGAAAAAGTTAATGTGTAATGTTAATATGAGATGATTTTAGAAAAATTGAATGTAAACTGGAAGTTTTAGAAAATACAATGCTTTAATTGTAAGTTCTTTTGAAAGTAAAATGAATACATGAGAAAAGGTTAAAGTGCAATGCTAAAAACCGGATGACTTTTGAAAATCAAATGTTAGGAAGTTTTTGAAAACAAAAAGCTTTCATAGGAAGTTTTAAAAGTAAAATGCATAGATGAGAAAAAGAGAAGTTTGATGTTTCAACGATGTTACATAAAGAAAATTTTAAAGTGCAATGTTAAAAATTGGATGATTTTAAAAAACTGACTGTAAAATTGAAGGTTTTGAATGTAGAATGCTTTAGTTGTAAGTTTCTTTCAAAGTAAAATGGATGTCTTTTGAGAATAAAATGAATACATGAGATATAAAAAGTTTGATGTTTCAAAGATGTTATAGAAAGAAAAAGTTAAAGTGCAATGCTAAAAATGGGGATGATTTATGAAAATTGAATGTAAAATACATGTTTTTGAAAGTAGAATGCTTTAAATGTAAGTTTTTTCAAAGTAAAATGCATACATGAGAAGAAAGGAATGATTTTTGAAAATCGAATGTAAAATGGAAGCTTTCAAAAATAAAATGCGTTGATTGAAAGTTTTTTTTAAAGTAAAATGCGAAGATGAGTAATGGAAAGTTTGATGTTTCAATTATCTTACTGAATTTATGACACAACAAAATATAGACTGGTTTAGTGGTGGAAAATACCTAGAGTATGAAATGAAAGTACTTTCCTATTTTTGGAGTATCACACAATTGCATCTTAGAATGTCAATGAGAAACTTGAAATTGAAAAAAAAATAACAGCATCAGGAAATGACATACCTTGGACTTAATTCGAATATTATTTGGTAAAAGAAAATTTCTTCTCTCATAAGTCAAAAGCCATACATAATCAATAATGTAATGGGTAAACTGTTCTAATTAAAATGTTGTAAGAAATAAGAGTTCTGGAAGCATAACTTTAATAAAGGAAAAACTGAAAACACAATGCAATAGTGCAATCTTTTTTCTTGAATATAAAACTAACAAGTCTTATCAAAATTGCTTTGAGTAAACTACACGAATGGTCCCTATGGTTTGGGGTAATTTGCACGCTTGGTCCCTAACTTATTTTTTTAACTTGGAAAGTCCCTACTGTTTGTTTTTATTACGCTATTGGTCCTTGTCTTACTTAAAAAGACTATTATTTGAATAGAAAAAAATAGTCGGATAAGTAAAGTAAGGTGAGGGGGGTTGGGGTGTGTTTATTTAAATATTTTAAAAAATCAAGGGAAAAATAGTTTTTAAAGGTAAGACAGGGACCAAGCGTGTAACAAAAACAAACAGTAGGGACCTTCCGAGTTAAAAAAAAAAGTTAAGGACCAAACGCGCAAATTACCCTAAACCTCAGGGACCATTCATGTAATTTACTCAATTGCTTTCTATATATTTGGATAAATATTGATGTAATTGGTTTCAAGAAATTAACCTTTGGAGATGTTGGTTCCCGGATGAGGTTGGGGTTTGAAGGGGCCCATCATGGTTTCAGGTGGCAACATCCTGTAAAAAGAGTAAAACTTTAGTTTGTGTTCATGAAAATTAAAAAGTATTTAATACCCTTGCCTTATCCACTACCATTGGAAGCACCTTGCAAAAGTAAAGGATCAATAAGTTTTTCAGCAAATGAAAAGAGAAAAACAAAAAGCATATTCATATCTTCAACCAAAGGAATAGTAGGGAATGCATGCTGTCCACCAAAATAAAAGGCACCAGAAAATCAGAGAGTGAAATAGCTTGAATACTCTAAAAACAAAAACGTATATAGACAACAAATCAACCTGGTATAATATATGTGGTAATTCACCTTGATTTACAGTATTTTGTTGAGATGAAGCAACAGAAATCAGGGTTTCCTTCAATTTTCCTAACCCTGTCTTCATGTCCAAATCAAGATTCTTGAACAATAACTAAAAGGGAAAACCAACATGAGAATAGGTAAAAAATTTACAATTGTACATGTGCTACACATACATAGATTCAAACATACTTCAATTGAAAACTTGACAATTGAGATTTGGCATTGCATGTATTTTCAGCAAATAATCCAAGAATTAGGTGGTTAATATGCTAGACTGCCTATGCATGGTTCCAAAACCTATAGCAAGGGAATTGAAGTGAAAAGAAGAATACCAATAACCACAGTAATTTTGAAAATAAACATAAATCAATGGAGTTACATACCTTGGAGGTAACTGGAATTATCCCAATCATTAAACCCTTGCATAAGCCTACACAAGTTAACAAGTAAACTTATCATATATCGCACCTACTCAAGAAGATGAAAAGAAACAGCTCTTTCAAAAAAAAAAAAAGATGAAAAGAAACAAAATTACAGATTCTTTAGCAATAAACGCTCTTCACAACTTGTCTGTATGAGCCTGTTGCATTCCCAAATAACAAATTAAAAGCAACAGGGTTCAAAAATACCTCAACATTGTGAAATTGGGAAACAAATAGTGGAATCAGACAAACACAAAGAAACCCTCCGTCTACTATGGACATCGCCTGTGAGATTTGGGTGAAAGCAGAGATGTCGAAGAAAAAAGGGGATGAAAATCACTCGTTATTTCTTTGCTTTGCTTCAAGATTCTGGACGTTTGATTAGCTGAGATCAAACCAAAGAATATTTCAAGTCTTCTCTTTAGTGGGGTTGGAGCTTATAAGTTGATATTTGGGGTGTGAGGCTTTGATTTCAAGAAAAAAAAAGGCGGAAGAGGAGAAGTTAAGTGAAGCGTTGTTTCAAGAAGGGAAAAGAAGAGGGAAGCAACAGGCTAGCAATTATAGTATTCCATAACAGAATCCCTAATCTAATAAATTAAAAAAAAAACAGGTCAAACCCAATAAAAGTGTAAGTTTAATGCAACAAAGGAACTTCCTGCCTCTAGTATATTGGTTAATAGATTAAAACCAAAAGGATTTAATAATACCTCAAGATTCTGAAATCAGGAAACAAATGGTGGAATCAAACAGGCAAGAAGAAACCCTCTGTCCAATTCCATTGTGAAAAGGGGAAAAACAGGTCATTAAATGGCATAGACACCTGGTTTTACAAGAATGAAATTTATATAAATTAAGGAGTTAAAAATGAAGAAATAAGATGAGAATAATTAATTATTAGGAAACAGGTTCAGAACAGAACATGATGCTTAGTCACCTGTTCCATCTAAGAATCATAGATAAAGGTAAGTTTTGGTGACATGGCAACTGCTCTATTCCCAGTTTAACCAACCGGTAAGTTTTGGTGAGGTGACATGGCATGGCATGTATTTGACACGTCATCAAATGCATACCAACTAGACACCATGTCACCAATAACTTACCAGTTAAACCGGTCTACAAGCGACTCAGGTGGATTGTAGCAATTGGATAAAATCTGAATGACATTGTGAAGAGCAGACAATAATACTCTTGCATCACTCATCTTCAGTGCTTTCAACAAGAGATAAAAAGATTATGCTTTGCCCCTGTGCATCATATCATATCATATACTATAGTAAAACCATAAGCTGTGATTATAAATGGAAAAAACTTGTACAGTTAAATAAATATATTCACAACTTTTGTTTTTGGAAGTCTAATATTATCACTTATCAGATGATTATAAGCAAATAAATAGCTACCTTTTGGACATTCATAAAACACCCATAACAGTAGCTTCTCAGTTGATGCACATCCCAACTCAAGGTTGTCATCAATAACACGTTGTATGGCATGTTCAAAGGATTCACTTGCATTATTCAAACCATGGTATTGAGAGTTTCTTATCTGAAAAACGAAAATAATACACAATCAATCACACATGAACAAAACAGAAAATGTTTAACAATGAACCTTGCTAGTAATATAAGACAGATTTCAAGCTAGTATGGATATACTTCTCATCAGAATTTGGAGGATTCAAAAAAAAAAAAAACTAACTGAATGAGAATGACACCTTTAAAACAAGTGTCATTGTTCCTTGAAACACTCTTCTCGACAATATTTTTAGTATATAGATATATCTCTTTAATACCCTTGCCTTATCCACTACCATTGGAAGCACCCTGCAAAAGTAAAGGATCAATAAGTTTTTTAGCAAATGAAAAGAGAAAAATAAAAGCATATTCATATCTTCAACCAAAGGAACAATAGGAAAATACCTGAAAAAGACCTTGTATTTTTCCATTTTTCCAAAAAAGTCCTCAACTTTGATTTTTTTTTTTTTTCAGAAAAAAAAACCCTCATCCTTCTAAATGTTTCCAAATAAACCCTCACATTTAAAAAAATTTTGAAAAAAAAAAAAACTACGGGCCAGATCGGAAAAAATGAAAAAATAAAAGGTCTTTTTCAAGCAAAATTACAAAATATAAGGTCTTTTTTGGATTAACCCTAAAATATTACCTATATTATCTTAGATTTATTTCATATGTAATTTAAAATAAAAAAGGATACATCCATAAACAATTGCAAATTCTTTCCCTGAATACGACCATTGAACATCATGTACACGTCCTTCTTTTCCTGCAAAAATTATAATAATTAATTATTAAAAAAAATATTATCAAATGAAATGTTACATACTTACATTCAGTGTATAAAGAAAGATAAACTTACGTAAGGGCATAAGCCCATTATGAGTTTCATCTAAAGTCAAATAATACAACTTTGACTTTCCATAGTAACTCTACTTAGGTTAGTTTTATCAACATCTGATTGAACGACAACCAGAAGCCTTGTAGAACCATGGTTCCAATGTTGAGCTGTTGAACATCTGAAGAAAGTTCTTGTACTAATGGGTTCACTTTGGGAAGCCTGTGTACATGCATATATCAAGATAAATGACCTTATATCAACAATTAAGTGGAAATGGAAGCTCTTAAAAAATGATTACTAAGAATTCAAGGTGAGTATTGAATTAGAATGACGAACCTTAGATTCTGGAACAAATACAACATCATGGGATCCAGGTTGCTTAGAAAGCTCTACTGCAGCTATTCCAGGAATTCTAATCTTATGCACCATGCCTTTTGAAAAATCAAAGAATTGAATTTCATTTGTAGCCATACGAGAAGCAACGGTTTCATCAGAGCTAAATGTAATTGATGGCCTGAAGAAGATGTAAGTCAAGTTCAAGTAAAGATGTTTGCAGCTTATACAATTATCAAACCATAAGCAAAAACTACTGTTATACCATGTTGCTTTGGTCATGTTCTTCTGGGACATAGTTTAAACTGATTCTCCTGTTTCTTTCTTCCAAAATGTGATGTTTTTTTTCTTATGGTGATGATAGTTTCTGAAAGTAAGTTCCACATGGAGATAGAGAGAGAGAGGCAGCAAGAGTGTTGGGGGATTCAAATGATCTCATCTATTTTGAGGTTTTGGAATCGTAGATGCTAATTGAAGTTTTGGATTTCATCACCATGCTAATACAGGTATGATCCTTCTTCTCTGCCTATTTCTCATAATCTCCTTCTCTGTGAAACCTCTTGTGTGAGACCCACCTCCAATTGGTTACCTTTTGAAAAACAAAAAAAATATGCTTTTAAAAATGGTCAATGGCTACAACAATAAAAATATAATATGTAAAAATCACCAAGATTCAGATTGAGCTACTATTCTTCATAGGGTCATTTTCATTGTCACATTGAACTACTGAATTCCACCACCCTCTACATAAATATATATAAATCATCAAATTTCATATTGAATTTGGGAATTTTACAGCATTTAATTTGAACATAATTGTAACTTGGTGTGATGGTAATTTACCTGAAAAGAGAAGTAAAAGACCACATGCTATGTAAAATTTAAGATATTGGTTAAATCGTTTATCTAAAATTTGTTATGCTCATGTATAAGAAAATCTACACAGATACATAACAAATAATATTCATATACAATGAAAACGTACAATTGAGTTAGAATGCTGATGTAAAAAATGTTTATATAGTAATAAACGATATTAACTTTTAAAAAATAAGCAACAGTAGCTGAAAAGAAAACTCTTCAAGCCTTTACTCCACTTGATTACTTTAAAGGACAAAAAAGAAAGGACAGAAACGCATAAATAAGTTACCTGAAAAGCTTGCCTGCACGAAAACGTACAATTTGACTCCAAAATATCGCTGCTCAAAATTCATGATACACCGAACACCTGTCAGTTGGAGAAACATTGCCCAGAATGATAAATACTTTACAAACAAACAAACGTAAATAGACAATTCCATTAACAATTATTAAAGCAAAATTAAACCAAACGAACGGATGAAGCCAACATAAATCTCCTCTTGAGAGTAGCAGATAAAAGAAAATTGGAAAAAAAAATAGATTTTGGAGAAATCAATTACTTGTACAGAACATAGAAAAAGAGGGTGGTGGGAATACCTGATTGGATAACTAAACTGGTTTATGTATTTCATTACCTCCAATAAGACACTCATCTTCGGTGCTTCAACAAGAGAGATAAAAGATTATGTTGTTGCCCCTGTGCATCATATCATATCATATAGTATAGTTAAAACCATGATAATATCACCATTGTGTGAAGCACAAATTGAACTATCAGGTAAAGAATTCGGTTTTGAAGTTGAAAGTGCAAGGCCTCTTATGGATGTTGCCTTCAAAAGGGTTAATTCAGGCAAGGATCTGAAAAAGGTAAATAATATCAAAGTCATGTGTTTATCGACTTTTTTATTCAATCAAAATCCAAATATGAAAAAGATAACTCACCTAATTTCAATTTTCCCATTGGTAAAAACAAGAACAAGGCCAGCATCAGAACAACATGTTGAAGCCCAACAACAAATTGACGAATTAAACTTCTTTTTATAACAAACCTTCTTCACTCCCTGTATATATATTTTTATATTTAAAATTGAGTATACAAGAGTATATAAAATATGTCAAGAAAATTAATTCTTCAAGTTCTAAAATCTAACCTGAACAGCATGTGAAAGTGAATACACGTAAACAGCTTTCTCAGAACATAGTAGCAATGACTCCTTCACTACCCCATCATCAAACGAATTTCCTATTATACCCTTAGATGCATTAGATCCTCTGCCAGATGTCCCTTGCTCATCTATATATCATTTGTAACATATAAATAAAGAACAATACAAAAAAAAAAGTATGATTTATTTACTACCTAACATTTGGATTAAAAGAGCTTTAGAAGGTTTTTTAGGATGAACTGATCCATTATTGAGAATATTTCCTGTTTCACTTTCAAGTGCCCAACCTGATGAATCCTTTGTTGCTGCCACTTTTCTCAAATCCATGCAAACTACACATCCCAAATTGCAGAGAGATGACAGCTGTCGAGATCTCACTCGCTATACGCCTTTCATATAACACAGTTGCTCCTCCAATGTCAATCACCGAAACCTTCATCATTTTTTAATTTACGTTAATTTAGTTACAAAAAGGGCAGAAAAGGAAGAAAAAAAATGATATCTTACATATCCTTGATCTGACCCCACAACAATATGTTTAGAGTCACGACTTGTAGTTATTGAAACCACTGCTCCATTCACCTTCACAAGTTTAACACTTTGAACAATATTGCTTCCTTTCTTTGAACTTGCTTGTAAGGACAAAAAATTGCTCTCTATAGCATATGGCTCGGGTTTAAATTTATAAATTCTAACCTATGACATAAAATATTAATTTTAAATTGAAATGTAACATATTTTTACAATATGATATATAGATACTCACTGTTCCAGTTTGATCTCCAGATATGAGGAGGCATGTTTCCATATCATAACACAATGCAGTCAGTGAAACACCACTTAAAGTCTGATCATCTTCACTTTGTTGATTAAATGATACAATTGGAATCAAAAGTGGAGATGATGCATCCCAGAAGTTTATACCACCATTGCTATGTCCTGTTATGTACATGTTTTTGAAATTTGAAAAACTCGTAAAACCAGTTGAAGAAGATGAAGATGAAGATGAAGATGAAGATCCGTCTTTTTTGCTTAGACTCAAATGAGAAAAGTGAAGGAATCTATTTCGACATCAACATAAATATTAGCACTTATCAGACAATTATAAGCAAATAAATACCTTTTGGACATTCCTAAAACACCCATAAGAGAAGCTTCTCAATGAAGGCATGTTCAAGGGATTCACTTGCATTATTCAAACCATGGTATTGAGAGTTTCTTATCTGAAAAATGAAAATAATACACAATCAATCACACAAGAACAAAACAGAAAATGTTTAACAATGAACCTTGCTAGTAATATAAGAAAGATTTCAAGCTACTATGGATATACTTCTCATCAGAATTTGAAGGATTAAAAAAAAATAACTGAATGAGAATGACACCTTCAAAACAAGTGCCATTGTTGCTTGAAACACTCTTCTGGACAATATTTATAGTAGAAACTATTTCTTTAATACCCTTGCCTTATCCACTACCATTGGAAGCACCCTGCAAAAGTAACGGATCAATAAGGGAGAAATTGAAAACGCAATGGAATAGTGCAATCGTTTTTCTTGAATATAAACCTAAGAAATTATGGGATCGTCAGGCTGCTACAAGTGCGGCAAGTTTGGGCACATCAGCAGGGATTGCACTGCTCCTGCGACAGTTATTCAGACATCGGAGTTGCTGTGTTTCCACTGCAACCAGAGGGGCCACAAGAAGGCCAATTGCCCCATGTTGACAGTTTCAGCGCTAGTGAAGGCACCAACTCCAGTGACCCTGCGGATCACGAATGGCCGTCAGGGCAGGGCAGAGGCTCCGGTGGTGAGGAGCCGAGCATTCCAGCTGACTACAGAGGAGGCACGCGCCGCGGCCGATGTGGTGACGGGTATGATTCTTTCCTTCTATCTTTTGTTTTATGTTGTTATGATATTGATATGTGCTCCGTGTGTATATATATGTATTAGGATCGTTCCATATGAACGGCATCCCAGTTCAGGTATTGTTCGACTCGGGTGCATCCCGATCGTTCGTTTCTCTTGCGCTTAGCAAGAGGTTTCATGAGACTTCAGGCGAGTTAGATTGCCCGTTAGAGGTAGAGATTGCTGACGATCGATCGGTGCAAGCATCGATGGTGTTTCGAGATTGCGTTCTGCGACTGTTTGAGGAGTGTTACCTGGTAGACTTGGTTCCCATTCCATTGCGTGGGAACAAGGTGATTATTGGCATGGATTGGTTGAGCCCTAATGGGGCAGTGATAGATTGCGCGCAGCAGCTAGTGCGAGTCAGGACCCCAAGCAGGGGAGAGTTAGTGATTCATGGCGAACGGCCACAGTGTGGACCCACTGTATGTTCGGCAGCGAGGGTTAGGCGTTATCTTCAACAGGGATGCGCGGGATATGTCGCGTATGTGATGGATACCCGGGAGGCGGGTAAGGCGACCGCTAGCGAGGTCCCGGTGGTTCGAGATTTTGCAGATGTTTTCCCGGAGGAACTACCTGGGATACCTCCGGAGCGACAGGTAGAGTTCAGGATTGATCTTATTCCTGGTGCGGCTCCGATAGCCAAAGCACCGTATCGGTTGGCCCCTCCCGAGATGCAGGAGTTGTCTACGCAGCTGCAGGAGCTGCTGGACAAGGGATTTATTCGTCCGAGCAGTTCGCCTTGGGGAGCCCCGATTCTATTTGTGAAGAAGAAGGATGGGTCGCATCGGATGTGTATAGATTACCGGGAGTTGAATAAGGTGACGGTGAAGAACCGTTACCCACTCCCGAGGATTGATGACCTCTTTGACCAGCTTCAAGGAGCATCTTGATTCTCCAAGATTGACTTGCGTTCGGGTTATCATCAGATGAGGGTCGGGAGGAGGATACGCAGAAGACCGCGTTTCGGACACGTTATGGCCACTATGAGTTTGTGGTGATGTCGTTTGGGCTCACCAATGCTCCTGCCGCGTTCATGGATCTCATGAACCGCGTTTGCAGACCGATGTTGGATCGGTCTGTGATAGTCTTTATCGATGACATCCTGGTTTATTCCAAGATCCAGGAGGAGCATGAGGAGCATCTGAGGGAGGTGTTCGAGACCCTAAGGAGGGAGAGCTTGTATGCCAAGTTCTCCAAGTGCGAGTTCTGGCTGCGCGAGGTGCAGTTTCTTGGGCACCTCGTCAACCAGAACGGGATTCTGGTCAATCCGGCCAAGGTTGAGGCCGTGATGAGATGGGAGGTTCCGAAGTCTCCATCTGAGATTCGGAGTTTCCTAGGATTAGCGGGCTACTATCGGAGATTTATCCAAGATTTCTCCAAGATAGCCGTACCCCTGACACGACTGACGAAGAAAGCTGTGGTCTTTCGGTGGGGACCCGAGCAGCAGGCTGCGTTTGAGATGCTGAGACAGAAATTGTGTGAGGCGCCGATCCTAGCCCTGTCGGAGGGCGTAGAGGATTTTGTGGTTTATTTTGATGCGTCCATTTCGGGGTTGGGCGCAGTTCTGATGCAGAGGGGCATGTCATTGCCTACGCTTCGAGGCAGCTCAAGCCCCACGAGGCGAACTACCCGACGCACGATTTGGAGTTGGGGGCCGTGGTCTTCGCCCTCAAGATTTGGCGACATTACCTCTACGGGGTTCGTTGTACCATCTACATGGACCACAAGAGTCTGAGGTATCTCATGGACCAGCCGAATCTGAACATGAGGCAGCGTCGGTGGTTGGATGTGGTGAAGGATTATGATTGCGAGATCCTTTACCACCCGGGGAAGGCCAACGTGGTGGCCGATGCGCTTAGCCGCAAGGCGGCGCCGATCAGGGACGTATGCCTGAGGATGACCGTAGTGACTCCCCTATTGGAGCAAATTCGGGAGGCTCAACAGGAGGCTATCAAGGAGGAGCATCGGAAGAGCGAGCGCGTGGTGGGTCAGGTATCCTCTTTTGATTATGATAGCCGGGGTCTATTGACACTACACCATAGGGTGTGGGTGCCGTATCACGGGGGCGTCCGCCAGATTTTGATGGATGAGGCGCACAAGTCCCGATTCTCTATCCATCCTGGGGCGACGAAGATGCTAATTGAAGAGTGTTGGGGGATTCAAATGATCTCATCTATTTTGAGGTTTTGGAATCGTAGATGCTAATTGAAGTTTCGGATTTCATCACCATGCTAATACAGGTATGATCCTTCTTCTCTGCCTATTTCTCATAATCTCCTTCTCTGTGAAACCTCTTGTGTGAGACCCACCTTCAATTGGTTACCTTTTGAAAAACAAAAAAAATATGATTTTAAAAATGGTCAATGGCTACAACAATGAAAATATAATATGTAAAAATCACCAAGATTCAGATTGAGCTACTCTTCTTCATAGGGTCATTTTCATTGTCACATTGAACTACTGAATTCCACCACCCTCTACATAAATATATATAAATCATCAAACTTCATATTGAATTTGGTGATTTTACAGCATTTGAACATAATTGTAACTTGGTGTGATGGTAATTTACCTGAAAACAGAAGTACAAGACCCACAGGAAAAGACCACATGCTATGTAAAATTTAAGATATTGGTTAAATCGTTTATCTAAAATTTGTTATGCTCGTGTATAAGAAAATCTACACAGATGATAATAGATACATAACAAATAATATTCATATACAATAAAAACGTACAATTGAGTTAGAATGCTGATGTAAAAAATGTTTATATAGTTGTAAACGATATTAACTTTAAAAAAATAAGCAACGGTAGCTGAAAAGAAAACTCTTCAAGCCCTTACTCCACTTGTTTACTTTAAAGGACAAAAAAGAAAGGACAGAAACGCATAGATAAGTTACCTGAAAAGCTTGCCTGTGGGTATAAGAAAGTGTAGGGCAAAGTCACCACGAAAACGTACAATTTGACTCCAAAATATCGCTGCTCCAAATTCATGATGCATCGAACACCTGTCAGTTGGAGAAACATTGCCCAGAATGATAAATACTTTACAAACAAACAAACGTAAATAGACAATTCCATTAACAATTATTAAAGCAAAATTAAACCAAACGAACGGATGAAGCCAATGTAAATCTCCTCTTGAGAGTAGCAGATAAAAGAAAATTGGAAAAAAAAATAGATTTGGGAGAAATCAATTACTTGTACAGAACATAGAACAAGAGGGTGGTGGGAATACCTGATTGGATAACTAAACTGGTTTATGTATTTCATTACCTCCAATACGACACTCATCTTCGGTGCTTCAACAAGAGAGATAAAAGATTATGTTGTTGCCCCTGTGCATCATATCATATCATATAATAGTTAAAACCATGATAATATCACCGTTGTGTGAAGCACAAATTGAACTATCAGGTAAAGAATTCGGTTTTGAAGTTGAAAGTGCAAGGCCTCTTATGGATGTTGCCTTCAAAAGGATTAATTCAGGCAAGGATCTGAAAAAGGTAAATAATATCAAAATCATGTGTTTATCGACATTTTTATTCAATCAAAATCTAAATGTGAAAAAGATAACTCACCTAATTTCAATTTTCCCATTGGTAAAAACAAGAACAAGGCCAGCATCAGAACAACATGTTGAAGCCTAACAACAAATTGAGGAATTAAACTTCTTTTTATAACAAACCTTCTTCACTCCCTGTATATATATTTTTATATTTAAAACTAAGTATACAAGAGTATATAAAATATGTCAAGAAAATTAATTCTTCAAGTTCTAAAATCTAACCTGAACAACATGTGAAAGTGAATACACGTAAACAGCTTTCTTAGAACATAGTAGCAATGACTCCTTCACTACCCCATCATCAAACGAATTTCCTATTATACCCTTAGATGCATTAGATCCTCTACCAGCTGTCCCTTGCTCATCTATATATCATTTGTAACATATAAATAAAGAACAATATAAAAAAAGTATGATTTATTTACTACCTAACATTTCGATTAAAAGAGCTTTAGAAGGTTTTTTAGGATG